ATGCCGGAGCCGGCGGGCTGCAGCGCGCGGCCGCCTTTGCCCGTGGAGCCGGCGGCGGCGGGCGGCGGTGCGCCAATGGAGAGTGATGTCGAGGAGCCGGGAGGGGGGGAGGAGGAGGGAGCAGGGAGGAGGGGGGAGGAGGGAGGAGGAGCAGGAGGAGGAGGAGGAGGAGGAGGACTCGAACTGATATGGCCTAAGGGGCGCCCTAACACAATGTGATAAGGCCTGCGGCCATCTCCACCCCAGTGTTGACAGGGAGACCTGCGCCACAGCAGGCCACCCTAGGAGTGACAGGAAGAATCGTACCTCCCCAAAGCCCAACAACTTTTCGTTGAATCGAGGGAGGACGCGTGTCAGACCTAAGTGTCCAATGTAATTTGCGGTGTTGCACCGCACTCCATGCGCGCTCTCTTCAGCCGAAATTGTTTTAACAGTTTTAACGCCAGTTGGGGCGCACATTGTTTTAACAGTTTTAATGCCTGCTGTGCCGCACCGTCCCCGTGACATTTGCAGCGCCTTGCGTGGCGTGGGGGGATAGCGGATGGGATGGTACGCTCAAAATTTGGGTCGTTGCAAGTTCCTGTGTTGACGATTTGTGGTCGTTCGAGTGAGCAAAAGGTGTGTCTCTGCTCTTGGGCGCGGTACGGCATGGATTCACGGACGCGCCAGTACACCCAAAGATAGATTCAAAGTGGCCGCAACGAGGTGTGGCTCTTCTCCGCGCTGTCTTGGCCGATAAGGAGGTTCGGGGCGAAGCACCTTACCCTGAGCGCGCCCGAACGTGAAGCACGATCGTGAGACTGTACCGGCTGCGTGGACGATAATTTGGGCGTGAGGTGTCGATGCTATCCCTCATGACCTCATATAACGACATGTTGGGCCCCACGAAGTGGGACCCGGATGTGTGCTTGATCCGTCCCATGGGGACGCAACGAATTAGCAAGAAAGCGCGCGCGCCTTGCCTGGGGGGGGCAGGATTTGTCCGCCCCTGGGCTGCGGTTCAAGCTAGAATCCAAACGCGCGCGGTTCTGATATGTGTTGCTTCTGTCCCGGCTGCGTGGCCGATGATTTGGGGGTGAGGTGCCGATGCGATCCCCCCCTTGACCTCACAACGACATGTTGGGCCCCACGAAGTGGGATCCGGATGTGTGCTTGATCCACCCCATGGGGACGCAACAAATTAGAATGAAAGCGCGCGCGCCTTGCCGGGGGGGTAGGATTTGTCCGCCCCTGGGCGGCGGCTCAAGCCAGAAACCAAACGCGCGCGGTTCACGTATGTGGTATGTGGTGTTGCGTCTGTCCCGGTTGCGTGGCCGATAATTTTGAAGTGAGGTGTCGAAGGCTAGAGTCCAAGCATGCGCGGTTCTGATATGTGGTGTTGCGTCTGTCCCGGCTGCGTGGCCGATAATTTGGGGGTGAAGTGTCGATGGTATCACCCTGGCACGAAGTGGGACCAGAATGTGTGCTTGGTCCCCGGGGGACGCAACAAACTAGAACCAAAGCGCGCGCACCCTGCCGGGGGGCAGGATTTGTCCGCCCCTGGGCGGCGGTGCAAGCTAGAATCCGAGCGTGCGCGATTCTGATGTGTGGTGTTGCGTCTTGATTGCATGCGCCACATATTGCGCCCAAGCTTGAAGCAGGCCCGTGAGACACGACAGCTTGCACCACGTATTGCTCCCGAGAGTGAAGCAGGACCGTGAGACACGATAGCTTGCACCACGTATGGTTATGCTGATGTAGGCCTTGCGTTTGCCCTGCAGTTCATGGGGACCTACGGACTGGATCATGTAATGAAATGTGCCATGCACGTGGTGACAGCGATGGATGCGTGACGATGGGAGCGACAGGCACGTTTTTTCTCTTGAGAGCGACCAGGGAGTCAGAGGAGGGAGGAGATAGGGAGGTACTCGCTAGCGGGGCGGTGGCTGGGAAACCCGACAGGGTCGCAGGACAATCTTTCTGGGATCCCCAAGGGGCCCCAGGCGATCACAAGATGGCCCTCAAGTAAGATCTACCGCTTAGATCTTCATTTTGGGACCTGCCAGGGTCGCAGGACGGCCCCAGGAGGGTCCCTGGAGGACTTCTATCCTGTCGCAAGATTTCCTGAGGGACGAACTACAGCGTAAATCTCGGAATTCGCCAGGGCCGCAGGGATTGTCCAAGAGGGGCCTCTGGGGGCCCGCCAGACGGGCACAATATTGACCCCAATGAAGACCAACAATGTAGAAGTATTTTGGGCTGATGATCTACAATGTATATCGTTGTCTGAGACCTGGCAGTGCCGCAAGAAAGTCCCCAGGATTCGAACGGGGACCACAGGGTGCCCCCAGGTAACAAGATGGCCCCTCCGAAGATCTAGGGCGTAGACCTGATCTGCGGTCGCCCCTCGACCGCACAATCACGTTTACCGTTGCATCTATAGCACAGGTAGCGTTTATTCAATTATTTTCCTGGGCATTTTATGAGATCAAGTGGGTTGCGAGTATGCAATGTCTCACGCACCTCGCGTCGCAACTAGAAGTATATGTGCGGCACTCTAACCAGTCGTGCAGGACCGCCAGGATTGCCGCCGGGTTGTGTCTAGGAAACGATTGCCTCGTAGATGGGGTAGTTGTGCAGGACCGCCAGCATTGCCGCCGGGCTGTGTCCTGGAGGGTAATCCACGACGTGTCGAAAGTAGACAAGAGCCGTTGGCATTGCCGCCTGCATAACTCTATGAGGCGCATGCCTTGTGGGTGGGGTAGTTGTACAAGACCGCCAGCATTGCCGCCGGGCTGTGTCCTGGAGGGCTGAAATTCCGACGTGTCGAAAGAACACGAGAGCCATTGGCATTGCCGCCAGTCTGTGTCCAGGAGGCGCTTGCCTAGTAGATGGGGACATGTGCAGGGCCGCTGGAATTGCCGCCGGGCTGTGTCCCAGGGGGTTGAACCTCCGACGTATCGAAAAAATGCAAGAGCCGCTGGCATTGTCGCCAGGCTATGTCTAGGAGGCGCATGCTTCGTGGGTGGGATAGCTGTGCAGGGCCGCTGGCATTGTCGCCAAGCTGTGTCCCCGAGGGCTGAACCTCCGACGCGTCGAAGTTAAACCAGAGCAGCTGGCATTGCCGCCAGGCTGTGTCCAGGAGGCGCATGCCTCATGGGTGGGTTGGCTGTGCAGGACCGCCGGCATTGCCGCCGGGCTGTGTCCCCTAGGCAAGAATTTCCGACGTGTCGAAAGTAAACAAGAGCCGCTGGCATTGCCACCAGACTGTGTCTAGGAAGCGCTTGCCTCGTGGGTGGGCATTTGTGCAGGACCGCCGGCATTGCCGCCAGGCTGTGTCCCGGAGGCCGGAGACTCCGACGTGTCGAAAGTGGTCAAATGCCGCTGGCATTGCCGTCAACTGTATCCAAGAGGCGCTTGCCTCGTGGGTGGGGTAGTTGTGTAGGACCGCCGGCGTTTCCGCTGGGTTGTGTCCCAGAGGGCGGAACCTCCGTCGTGACGAGAGTAAAACACGAAGCGTTGGCACTGCTGCCAGACTACGTCCTCGAGGCGCGTGCCTCGTGGGTGTGGTAGTTGTGCAGGACCGCCAGCATTGCCGCCGGGCTGTGTCCCAGGGGGTTGATCTTCCGACGTATCGAAATAAAGCAAGCGCATACCTCGTGGGCGGGGTAGGTGTGCAGGACCGCCAGCATCGTTGCCAGGCTGTGTCCTGGAGGGTGGAACCTCCGACGTGTCGAAAGTAAGCAAGAGTCGCTGGCATTGCCGCCTCGATGTGCCAGGAGGCGCTTGCCTCGTGGGTGTGGGCATTTGTGCAGGACCGCCGACACTGACGCCGGGCTGTGTCCAGGAGGCCAGAGCCTCCGACGTGTCGAAAGTATCCCACATCCGCCGGCATTGCCGCCAGACTGTGTCCACGAGGCGTTTGCCTCGGAGGTGGGGTAGTTGTGCAAGATCGCCGGCATTTCCGCCGGGCTGTGACCCAGAGAGCTGAACCTCCGCCATGCCTAAAGTATAAAAGAACCGCTGGCATTGCCGCCAACCGTGTCCAAGATGCGCTTGCCTCGTGGGTGGGGTAGTTTGCGGGACCGCCAGCATTGCCGCCCGGTTGTGTCCTTGAGGCATCTCCCTCGCGACGTGGGCAGGCGTGCAGGCTCAGCAAATGCACGCAACCTGTCGTTGCCGCCAGGCAGCGCCCACCGGAAACGAGGTGCGAGAACAGGTAGAAGTGAGTGTGCAGGACCGCCAGTCTTGCCGCCGGGCTGTGTCCTTGAAGCGACTGCCTCGTGACGAAGGCAAACACGCAGAATATGCGCAATTATGCACGGTCGCTGGCACTGCCGCCCTTGCCTCAATCATCAGAGGCGGGTGCCCGTGACTGTCCATCGACACGGATGGGCATCCAGGCCCGTACGGCCTTGCTTCTTTGGGGAAGGCCGTGCCTGCCCTGAGTGTGAGGGCGAAACGTCCTAGGCCACTGTCGCCCGGCCACTCACTGGATAAGGGGCCACCCAGGGGTGCTCCTCGAGTTCAAGGACCTCTTAGTGGCGCCCCGTGCGTCCCCTAAACTTTTCCCCGAACCCAGTATCGAATGGCGTCGGTACGAGGAGGAGGAGGAGGAGGAGGAGGAGGAGGAAGAGAAGGAAGAGGAGGAGGAGGAGGAGGAGGAGGAGGTGGAGGAGGAGGAGGAGGTGGAGGAGGAGGAGGAGGAGGAGGAGGAGGAGGAGGTGGAGGAGGAGGAGGAGGAGGGTGGGGGGGAGGAGGAGTAGGGAGGAGGACGGTAGCTGACTACGGTCGGGGGGCCCGACTAAGGTTTTACTAGCGTTGCGCGCTGGGCCCATCAGCCAGGGCAACGGCGCCCTGGGCTGATTTCATGTTTGAGGAGGAGGAGAAGGAGGAGGAGGAGGAGGGGGAGGACAGACCCAGACTCTAGACCTGCGAAGGAGTGGTGATTTCAACCCAGGCGCTTTTGCCAAGTTTCGTCCAGGGTTGGTGGTTTCAATCTATGCCTGGTGGTTTCAACCCTGGCATCTGTGAGCCGTGTGTGGGCCTGGGGGGCATCAGAAACGAATCCGGAAGAATGCCCCGGGGAAGGGGCCGGGGGCCCTGGGGTGCGGAATGTACAACATCACATTGCCAGATGTTTTGGGGGGAGGAGGTGGAGGAGGATGAGGACAGACGAGGAACAGGTCGGATCAGCACTCCCCGAATTTGCGCGGAAGGCTTACTCAGCTAGGCGAGTGTCGCACCCAAGGGACACGACCGTTTGGGAATTGACCGTACATGAGGTTCGCCTGGAATTCACACGCCTACCTACCCACACTAAACAGGTATGGGCCACGAGCTGTCGGACAGAGCAAGCACGCAGACCGTACACAACGAGTTGGCATGGACAAAGCCCGAACTTCTCATACATATGGACATACGGAACGCATTCGACAGGATTTTTCTGTGCGGAACGCATGCAGGTCACGCACATTCGTAGCCTGATTTGTGCACATGATTTGTCGCCATCGCCGTCTGCCATCATGTGGCCCGTCGTCTCCCATCATTTGTCGCCTGCCGCCGTCTGTCGTCGTCAGCCTTCGTCGCCTTCGCCGCTGTCGCGGGCGCCGCCGCCGCCGCCGCCGCCGTGGGCGCCCACGCTTCCGCCGCCAGAGAGGGCGCCGGCCGCCGCCGTGCCGTCCAGAGGGCTCGCGCGCGCGGACCCGCCCGGACCGTCCGCGCCTCCGACGCCGCCCCGCGGCAGCAGGAGCCCCCCGCGGGCGCCACCGGCCAGGCGCCGCTCGCGGCGCCGGCCGCCAGGCGCGCCCGTTTCGCCGCCGCCGCGCGTCGTCGGCCGCGCCGGGCGCCGTCGCCGCGGGCGCATCGTCGGCGGCTGCCGCCGGCGTCGCCGGCGTCGTCGGCGCCCCCGCCGCCTTGCGGCGTCGCTGCCGCGGCCACCGCCGCCGCAGGCGCCCCTGTGAGCGTCACCACCGTCGCGTTCGTCGCCGGTGCCTGGCCGTCGTGGTCGTAGCCGTTGGCGCTGCTGCCGGTGCCTGGTGGTCGCCGTCGTGGCCGCGGGCGCCTGACCGCGGCCAGCGTTCGTCCTGGCGGGCGTTCTGTCAGTGGCGACCCCTCGATTGTCCTCTTCCTGTCTTTCCTCGTCCTCGTCCTCGTCCTGCTGTTCCTCTCTAATGCTGTCATTTGCTGAGGGGGCGTAAACGGTCCCTATGGTAAAAACATCAAAGTGAGGAACAGTTCGAGGTCAATGCTTTCAAAAAGTTCAAGTTCGAGCTTGCGAGAATCCTGAAGTCCAGAAAAAGTGTAGCTACAGTTCGGCAGCGAAGAATTGCCATACATCCGGAGCGCGTGTGACCTGTTCGTGAACTCCCGAATTGGTTTCGAACTTTTTCCGAATTTTCTTTTTTGGTATCAGAACGTTTTTCCTAACTTTGAGACGTAGTTCGAACTTTGTTCGGATTTGTCCGGACTCTGTCCATACTCCTGTTAACCATTTGGTATGTTTGCGGTGCCCCCCTGAACTTTCGAACTTGTTTCGAACTCTTGCTTTCCTTGGTTTGCGAACTCGAACTTCTAACTTTCTTCCCCCCCCAAACCCAAGCTCGAACTTGAATATTCCCAGCCAATTTCAAACCTAATGTCCGTCATGCCCATCATGCTCCTCCTCTTTTCATGGTCTTCCTCTTGCCGCCGCTCTTCCTTTCGTTTCCCTGCTTCTTCTCCAACTCCTCCTGCTCCTTCCCCTCCCCATGCTCATTCGATCATTCTGCTTCCCATGATCCAACCGCTCCTCGCATCCCGCCAGACTATAACTAGTATGTCCGTTGCCATCACCCTGCGTGCTCGTGTCGGTTGGGTAGTTGATCGTTGGCGACAGTGTTGTGGAGCTCGAGTGGTGGAAAAGGCAAGCGCTGGGTAATTATGTTGCGGGCGGTTATCGCCGGACGCACGCCCCCGCCAAGGTGTCACCGTCCAAGCCCGAAAGCACGTCGAGGCCGTCATGGCGGAAGCTATGGAGACGGTTGTCGGATCATTTTGTGAGGTTCACATTTCGTGCGACGGCGGATCATTGTTGGAGATGTTTGGGAGTCTGTAGAAGATTCAGGAGGGTTCTGGAGTCTCTAAGGGATTTCTTGAGGCCTCTTGGATATTGTCTGAGACCGTCTTGGGCCGCCAAGGTGGGGCCCGGGAGCTGATTCGGGATCATCCTGGGGCCTGCCAGCCAAGCCCCCTTTGGGCACTCTTGGGGGTCTTTGGCGCTCTCTTGGAGCCCTTCTAAGCTCCACTTGTAGCTATCTTGGGCGTCATTGGAGCCATGTTGGGACCGCAGGAGGCCATAGAAAGTGAAAAGGTGAGAAAGCCAGCAAACTTGAAACCCGTCAGGCTTTTTTCAATGGTGAGTGTAAAGACTTCCGAAGCTTGGGGATGGTTTGGCCCGTCTGAAGGCCTCTTGGGGCCTGTCTTGGACCAGATTGGGCTGCAAATGTGCTCTCCGCGTCCCCTGCTGCAGCTTTTGCCGTGTCGGCAGCTCTCGAAAGCTCGGTGCATCTCGCCTGCGGGGCATCGGAGCCCTCTGGGGGACCCAGCAGCCCCTTAGGAAGCGACAGTGAGGGAAGGCCGGCAGCATCAGCACTTCCTGTGGATTTGAATGAGTTTGGCCTCTCTTGGGGGCCAGTTGAGCTATTGGGGGTCTCCAAGGAGCTTACAGTATTTGGCCATGTTGGGCCACTTTGGAGGGCCACCTTGAGGCCTCCTGAGGCGTACAGTCAAGACGCTGAAAATGACCATGCTGGGATCAGGAGGGGCCCTTGCTTCGCCGTGGCCGAGGCTCGCCGTGTCCAGGAAGACCACTTCGTTCACCTTCTGCCGACCATCGCGCCCGTCGCTCGCACTTGTCTTCCAGGCCAGGCTGCGCACGCGCGTTCCCAGGGGTGCTCCGGCGCCTGCTCAGCGGGATTTGCGAGATCGGCAGAGGTTGGCCGGGCATCCGAGTCCCCATGGCTGGTTCTCCCGGGCGGGTTCCGACTGCGCGTTCCCACTGGCGGAGGGTGGGACGCTCGCGACAGGAAGTTCCGTCGTTAGTCTTCCATCAATTCCTCGTGGCAGCACGGTTGCCTGCACCACGGCCTCGCCCCCCGATCGCCCCCCTTCCCCCCTTCCGAGGAAGGGCGGCGCCAGGCCTGCGGCGGGCCGCAGGAGGAAGAGAGCGGCGGCCTCAACACGACATGGGGGGGAGAGAGAGGGGGAGAGGAGGGAGGAGAGAGGCGGAGAGAGGGAGGGGGAGAGAGAGGGGGAAAGGAGAGAGGGGGAGAGAGAGGAGAGAGGGGGAGGGAGAGAGGAGAGATGGGGAGAGGAGAGGGGGAGGGGGAGAGAGAGAGAGAGAGAGAGAGAGAGAGAACAACAAAAAATGGGCATGGGGGGAAAGAAGGGAGGGAGAGGAGGAAGGAGAAGGGAGGAGAACGGAGGGGGAAAAAGGATGAGGAGAAGAGGGACCGATTTCGACAGGTTGCAGATGGCGGCCGCCGAGCCGTTGCGAGGCCAGGAGGTGTGAGGTGGGGCAGCGGGGAGGCGCAGCAGCATCGAGCTAAAACGTCCAAGCGATTCGCGTAGGAGGGGTGCGAACGACAGAGATAAGGAATGATACAGGAGAGGAAAGAAGGAGGAGGAGGGAAGAGGGATAAGAAGGAGGAAGAGGATGGAAGAGGGGGAAGAGGGATGAGGAGGAGGAGGAGGAGGAGGAGGAGGATGAAGATGAGGAGGGGGAGGAAGAGGAAAGAGGAGGAGGATGTGGAGAAGGAGGAGGAGGAGGAGGAGGAGGAGGAGAGAGGAGGAGAGAGGAGCAGGGGAAATGATGAGGAGTCGAACAATGAAATACATTACACAAACAGAGACTTTCGGAGTTCCTCGCGGACTTTCTTGGATCGGCGCTGGGCCCCCTGGCGTCACCTCAGGCGCCGCCCGCAGATTTATCCCAACCATCTTGTGCTGTTGGCTTCCCGTTTTGAATCCTCAGCGGCCCGCGTCACTCCTCACCTTCCTCATCCCCCTTCTCTCTTTTTACTGGCATTGTTTTTCTTCCCTCCGCGTGCCAATTTCGGCACACCAAGCACACCCCTCACGCGTGTCGTGGCCTCATAGGGAGCTCCACCTAATGCTCCAGTGGGAGCGTCCACACGTGGCACCCGCTCGATTTCGGCACACCCTTCACGCGCTTCGTGGCTCCGTAGGGGCTCCACCTAGGGCCCCAATGGGTGCGTCCACATGCACCCACCCGCCCATTTCGGCACACCCCGCACACGCTCCGTGGCCTCACAGGGAGCTCCCCCTCCTTCGGTCCACTTGCCGTTCCGTATCCAAATCCGCACGTGCATGTGGCCGCATTTTGCGGCTGCGCCAGGATAGTTGTATTTGAGGTTGCTCTTGCAGCCATTATGGTTGGGCAGTGAGTGGACGGGGAAGGGAGTCGGGAGGCTGAGGAAGGGGAGTATGCAGCACATGAGGGATGAGGGGGGAATGGGAATGTGGGAGGACGGACGAGAGAGGAAGGATATAGCAGGGAGGGGTAAGAGGGAGGAGAGATGCACCAAGGGAGAAAGACAGAGGAGGAGTAGGAGGAGGGGAGAGTGTGGACGAGCAGGAGCGTGAAAATGGGTAGAAACACGAGTATGATGAGGTAGAGGTTTAGGATAATAGCGAGGGTCCGCTCAATCGTCTGCTGAGCACATGACCCGTGCGGTCACCCTCCAGAGACGGATTCCTGACTGCGCTGAGAGTTGCGTTCTTTTTCCCGCGGCAGTGTTGACGGCAGGGGGGTGGCGCGCAGTTGAGGGGGGCGTTTGAACATGGTTTGTTAATGGTTCGATCGATTCGGTAATGTGTAGCAGAGGTTGCGTGCGGTATCGATCGAGTCGAGTCCGCATACCCAAGGGAATACCAAAGGGGGGCCTTGCCCTTTGGATGGGTTTCGATGTGTTCGCTCGGTTATGCAAGCGTTTCGATCGATGCGCGGCAAACGATTGCGTGTGGACGGCCCGGATACGGGTCTCCTCTTTAGGAGCGTCTGGAGGAACGTCTTCACCCTGCAGGGCTTTCAGGAATCACTTCGAGGCCACTGGCGCACTCCAGGAAGACCTCAGGAGCCTCTGGCGCGTTTCTTTTGTCCTGGATCGTCGCCGTCGCGTCGTCGTCGTCGTCTTGGTCTGCGAGATACCCCCGCAGCGCCCGCGAAGTTTTGCTCCATTTGACGCTGGGCTGGCAGCGAAAAAGGCTGTCGACTTCGTTTCGTTTTTGGGGCGCGTTGGCGAGCGGAAGAGGCGTTGCTGGGCTTTGAGGCCCCCCGGGACAATCTGCGAAAGAGACAGGGGCGAGGCGGGGTGCGAGAGCAGGCGTGGTGAGCAGAACCGCTGGCAGTCGCGTCCGTGCAGTCCCAGCCGCGATCGCGATCTCGGAAAGAGCGTGTTCTACCGCTGCTGGCGGAAAACCGGGGGGGGTCACTATCGGTTCGAACCCCTCCCCCCCCCTCCGGAAAACCGGGCGGGGTCACTACCGGTTCGAACCCCTTCCCCCCCCCCGTTCATCATGAAAAGGGAGGGGGGTCACTACCAGTTCGAACCCCTCCCCCCCCCCCGGCCCCCCCCCCTCCCTCGAAAACCGGCAGGGGTCACTACCGGCTCGAACCCCCCCCCCCGAAAACCGAGGGGGGGTGCGGACAGTGGTGGGGACGGTGGTGGTGGGGACAGTGGTGAGGAGACAGCGGGACAGTGGTGGGGACAGTGGGACAGTGGTGGGGACGGTAGTGGTGGGGACAGTGGTGAGGACAATGGTGGGAACAGTGGGGACAGTGGACAGTGGTGGGGACGGTGGTGGTGGGGATAGTGGTGTGGGGACAGTGGGAATGAGGTGGAAACAGTGGGACAGTGGAGGGTACAGTGGTGGTGGGGACAGTGGTGAAGGCGGTGGCGAGGACGGCGGTGGGACAATGGGACAGAGGTACAGTGGGGACAGTGGTGGGGACAGTGGGGACAGTGGTGGGAACAGTGGGACAGCTCAGTGGGACAGCGGAGGAGTCAGTGGGACAGTGGGGACAGTGGGGATAGTCGGGCAGTGGTTGGGGCCGTGGAGAAAGTGGGGAGAGTGGAACCGTGGTGGGAACAGTGGTGGGAACAGTGGGGACAGTGCGACAGTGGTGGGGGCACTGGTGGGGACAGTAGGGACGGTGGTGGAACCAGTGGGGACAGTGGTGGTGAGGACAGTGGTGCTGGGAACAACAGTGGGGGATGTGGTGCGGACGGTGGTAGGGACCGGGAGTCGTTTGCTGGCGGTGGCGGGGGAGGGGTTCGAACCGGTAGTGACCCCCCTCCGGTTTTCGAGGGGGGTGGGGGGTTCGAACCGGTAGTGACCCCCCCGGTTTTCGAGGGGAGGGGGGGGGGTAGGGGAGGGAGGGGGGGGGGGGGTGCCGGGGCAGGGGAGGGGGGGGGGGTCCAGCAGGGGAGGGGGGGAGGATTTTCGGAGGGGGGGGGGGGAACCCCGGGCTACGGAGGAAAAGGGCGGCAATTTTCCGCAGTAAAGCGGCGGTGGATCACGCTCTCTCCGATCTCGATCGTGGCCGTCCAAGCGACGCTGGCACCAGCCTGCGGAGCAGCGATCGCGGGGGGGTCGGCGACGGGAGATGGCAGGGAAGTGCAAGGACCAGACAGGCCTAGGACAACGGTAAATCTCCCCCCATCTGCGTCCTGGAGGTTTTTGGAACAGCCACGGCGCCCAACGTATCCTCCAAATCCGCCGTTCTTCAGAGATGCCAGACTGCGAAGGCCTCGCGGCCGGTGCCTCCGACCCCGACGGGAACCGACGACGACGACGACGACGACGACCACGACCACGACCACGACCACGACCACGACCACGACCACGACCACGACCACGACCACGACCACGACCACGACCACGACGACGACCACGTCGACGACGACGACGACGACGACGACGACGACGACGACGACGACGACGACGACGACGACGACGACGACGACGACGGCGGGGGCGGCGGCTGCGGCGGTGGCGGCGGCGGCGGCGGCGGTGGCGGTGGCGGCGGCGGCGGCGGCGGCGATGGCGATGACCACGACGACGTTGACGCTCTGGAGCCGAAAGCTGCTCCCAGGGAGGGGTGCTCCCCGCAGGGGTAGGGCGGTTGCAACCCCCGGGACCCCCCCGCACCCCTGGACCCCCCCCCCACCCCCCACCCTTGGGACCCCCCCCGGCGGGGGAGGGATCAAGAGGAAGGGGCTTGGAGATACCAGATTTGTCTACGTCCGATCTTGTCTTCGTCCTACCGTGGCCTCGAGGGAGAGATTGTGAGGTCAAGACGGCGGTGCCCGGAGCGCGGCTGGAACACCTCATGTGCCACCTCTCCAACCTGCAGCTCCAGACCGAGCTCGGCGACCTGGAGGATCAGCTCCTGCAGCAGGAGCCGCCAGCGACGGCGCCATTGACGGCGACGACGGCGGCGGTGGCGGCCTCTAGCGCCGCGACGGCGGAGGCGGTGCGGCGGCGTCCCGCGCCGACGCGCCGAACAGCCCGAGGTCTGGGGAGCCCTCGGGGCGGGGGGGGGGGAGGCGCAGCTTGCGGGCCAGAGAGGGCGCCCCCCCCTCCTCCCCCCCTCCCTGAGCAGGGCGCGCCCCTCCTCTCGGGGGCCGCCCTGCGGCACCTCCCTCCCCTCGAGGGGGGCGCCTCGCGGGGGGGGGGGGGGGCTTCCCCTCTGCGCCTGGCCCGCCTGGGCCACCCCTCCCATCGGGCGGGCCCGCCTGCTCTGCGGCAGCGCCGCCGGGATCCGGTGCACGCCATCCTTCAAGCAGCAACGGCCCGTCAGTTGCAGGCATCGAGAAGCAGCAGGCTGCACATAACGAAGCTTTCGGGGGTCCGCGTGGACTTTTCTTGGATCGGCGTCATAGGCCCCCCTCCACCCCGCCCCTGAGTTCGCGGAGCGCGCGAGAGAGAGAGAGAGAGAGAGGCCGCAACTCCGCTGCCGTTTAGGCCTGTCAGTTTCGCGCTAAAGGGCCTGGAGGCGTTGGCGCGCGACCTGGCGCAGGCGGTCACCACCTCCCTGGTGGTCCGCGCCTGCGTGCCGTCGCCCGCCGCTGACCTGCTCCTGCCCCGGCGGTGAGGGCATGGTCGGGCCGGCGGGCCGCGAGGGTTTCTCGTTCGGGGTCCTGGCGCTGGTGGCTGGCACCCGCGGGGGCCGCGGTGGGAGCTGCGTGGGCCCTCTGGGCGACGCGCCCGATGGAGGCGGCGCTCGCGCGGGCGGCCGCGCCCACGGCTCGCCGGGGATCGAGGCTGCGGCCGCGCTGCCGGCGCCCCGTGCCACGGCGGCTCTCTCGACCGCCGAGGCGCCCGTGCAGCGATCGCTCGAGGAAGTGCAGGCGCCGTTTGCGGCCCAGTCTAATTAGGGCCTTTCGGCGCCCAGCCCCCTCGCTTCCGATTTGGCGGCCGCAAGCGCTGCCGGCAGCTGGCACCTCACTCGCTACAACGTGGGTGGCGTGACGGTGTACCACGAGCGGCTGACGCTCCCCCCGACGGGGTACGTGCTGACGCCCGACCTGGACGATAACGAAGAGAGCCAGGCACCCGACGCCGGCATCCGCAGCATCCAGCCGATCGCGGGCGGGCGCATCGGGGGCATGGTCGAGGGCCAGACCAGCAGGTCCCGCCGCCGGCTGCCCACGCAAGCAGAGCTGCGGGCGGCGCTGCGTCGCGGATCCGCCGCCGGGTTCGGGCCGCTCCCGCCGTCGCGCTTCAACGACGAGCTCTCGGCCTTCATCTGTGCTGGAGCGGCTGCGGGGCCGCTGGCGATGGCCGATCCGGCCGCTGCCCCGGCGCCGGGCGCGGGCGTTCCCAGTGGCCCGAGCGGCACAGTTTTTTAAAGGAATTCTTGCACCATTAGTTTTTTGTTGTGCGTTCCACGGAATTAAGTAACACCTTAATGTTTTAAAGACGTTGGTTTAACTTTTATTTCGAAGAAACAATTCCGTAATTTTGTAATTCTGATGAGTTTAAGCCATAATTTTTGAATTGTTGAACCCTTCGCGTTCTTGGCATGGCTCACGCGTCTGGTGGCCCCAAAGGGTCGGCGACCTCTCGACATTCGCTCCTGATGACCCGTCTGGTGCATGAGTGCATTAGCAGAAGCAGAGAGGGAATCGGTGGAAGCTGGCGGAAGGAGCACTTTACAGGGGCGGTTGTACAAACGGAAGCTGGCGGAAGCAAAGTCTCATGGAAATTTGCGGAAACAAGATCTTACCGATCAGCAGACAGGAGGAGGAGGAAGTTTGCTGTTTGTGCTGCTGCGACTGAATTCCCTGGATTGGTCACCCTTCTGTTTCTGCTTCCGCACGGCAACACACCCCATCATCAGCCATAGTTGTTCTGGCCCGAGCGATTGCCCATATGGCGGCTCGAAAACACCGACCCCAATCGACGGTGATAAAGACCGATGGTTTGCACGCACGCTGGGAGACTTTGCTTGGGAAGAAGTTTCGTGGTTTCAAGTGGGACGGCTCCGACTACGGCACCCCTGATCGGAGCCAGGGAGGGGGCTCGGACGGCCTCGTGAAGTACATGGAGCCGCTGAAGGGCCTTCTCGCAGAGGCCCCTACTGGCTTTCCCACGTACAGGTCGTTGCGGGATGCCTTCCTCAAGTTTGACTGTGACTACCAAATACTAGGCAAAGGCGAGGGTGGCAAAGGTAAGCATACAATAGCAGGCGAAGTGGCGGACGTATGGAGGAAGATGTGTGGCGACGTGTATCAACACCGCAAATCAGGAGTGCACGACAAAAAGGTGGAGCCCCTGGTGGAGCTCATCACCACCAAGCCTTCGACCGAGCCAGCCTCGTCGGTGCCGATGCTTTCCACGGCGCCAGCGGCGCCAGCGATGCCTGCCGTCCCTGACTTCGAGGACGAATCCGAAGAGGTGGAGATCCTGGAGCCAGGGTGCACGAAACACCAGGACACCAAGGCAGGCAACTCTGATGACGATGACGATTGCGAGGTCGTCCACGTCAAGTGCATGTGTCCAGAATGCCAGGTGCCAGTGCCGCCCCCAGGCATTGGCGGACAGAAGCGTGGCATGGTGGAGACCACGACCTTGGTTCAAGGGAAATGCTCGAAACCAACGCGTCGGCTCAGGAAGAAGACCTCGCTCACCGAGCTCCCAGCAGCCTGGTAAGCCCAAGCACACCCCCATGAAGCAGAAGCGCCCGAAGCAGGTCGGCCCAAATATTCGTTTTCGCCATCGAGCAGATTCTGACATCGCATTGCCAATCGGAGTCGTCACGCGATCTGCATCTGACAAGAGGCCTGGCGAGTCCTACATACTGCAGAACACCCGCACGATGAGCTACGTCGTCGGTTGCACGTCGACGGGACACGCATCTTACATGGGCACCATCGCCAAACTGGCCGAGATGATCAACAGCAAGCGCATCCAGAAGCACAGCGATGCGAAGCAGCTCGTGCACCAGTACATCAAGGGCGACCTTGAGTGGGTTGAGGCATCGGTGTGAGCTGATGCGTCGGGCGAGATGTTCACGTGCATCGCAGGGGTCGCGAGTCGACGCGATACCCAATGAGCTCTTAGACATTGGAGGTGTCTCGTGACGATTTGCATTGCGCATTTACGTTATTTGGGAAACAAGCATGCACGACAGCGAGCCAGGAGGGCCCCCCATGGTCCCAAGATCCCGAGGTGCGTTGTCTGGGAGCCAAACTCACCACAGGAAGCCTAACGACCTCGGGGTTGGGGGCCCCAGAAGGGCCCCGAGAGGGCCCCAAGATGACCCCAGGAGTGCTCCAACATTGCTCCACTGTGTGTTCCGTCCTGCTTCCCTGTCATGGTTCTAACCTCTTCCCTGAATTGCCCTTCCGTCCTGCATTTCAGATCTGTGGAAGCCGTTCGCTCTGCACTTCAACTATTTGTGAATATCCTTGTTCTCATTGTTGCTCCGTTATGTAGTTCAGGTCTTGGGTTTTGTACGTCCTGTCTTCTCTCAAGAGGTCCCCGATGAGGCCCCGTTGGTGCGTGTCTGGTAAGCGAAAAACGAAACGACACAACAAGGATACAAACAAAACCGCCAGCAATGACAGCAGTTACCATCGAATCAAATGCCGCCAACAACGGTTACAACGCCAAATGCGACAATGTAACAACAACATGCGTATCAGAACATTTTTGCCCAGGTTTTGCGACGACCCAGTCTTGTTCAGCATGGGGGAGGAAACGAAGCCCATCGCGAAGTGCCTCTTCAGGCCTCAAGCTGTCAAGCATGAGCCAGCGACAGACGGTGGGGCAGCGAGCTCGGGCGCGGCCACTTCGAACCCAGAGTCCCTTCTTGGGAAGGCTGGTCCAGGTGATGCCAGTCGGCCAACCCTCGGCAGCGATAAGGCCAAGTACAACACATTCAACTACAAGCTGAACCTCGCCCCGCCCGAGATGCGATCTAAGTAGGTAGTCGTCAAGAGCCAGGAGAAGGTTAACCCAGCAGCGTTCTGGGCGTACGTTGAGAGCGCCATCGCTTTCAAGGCCGTCGCTACCACGAGTACGAAACGAACGCTGGCACAGATCGATGAGGACATCGACGAAGCGTCTTGGATACCTTGGGCCGAGGCTGCGAGGAAGGAGTGCCCCGAAGTGCTGATGGAGCAGGTCGAGGCCGGCACCGCCAGGGTGCGTCGCCACGTTCGGTTTCCGAAGGACTCAAAGATCCCGCATCCCCAGGACCAACAGGTGAAGTACGTCACCGAGACCGAGAGGAACGCTAAGAAGAGGACGAAGGAGGAGGAGGACACGGTGGAGACAGATGAGCAACAAGCTTCCGACAGCTGCGACAAGAGGTGGGAGTCCAGCCAGTTGGGCAAGAATGCTAACGCCACGGGCGGATTCGCCCAGCCGGCTGGGGCGGCGGGGGGGACCTCGATCGCTTCGAGTTCGGAGTCTGGGCTACCAGAGTGCATGGCGGCGGCCACCGCCCGCCCGCCCACGGCGGAAGAGATGCGGGACATGGCGGCGGCGCAGCGCATCAGGAAGGCGCACAACGCCTGGGACAAGGTCAAGAGGGACCTCCAGTCAACGATTGCCCAATCCAAGGCCCACGAGAACACGAAGGGCTGCAAGTTCGAGACAGACATGGCCGATATGATCAGTGCCGGGGACGCTGACGATGCAGCATTGGCGGCGCTCGAGCAGAAGTGCATGCGCAACGAGCGTTACACCAACGACCAAGTGGCCAACGCTTCGACCGTCAGCACGGCCATGAAGGAGAGGACCAAGCAGGCCAGCAAGATCATCACTGCGATCAAGCCCTGGTTCGCAGTCTGAGCGAGTGGGCCCGCTTGGCAGTTTTGGAGCTTGCATCGGTGAGGCATTCTGCCCCGCCTGAGCTGAGCTGGGGTTAGCTTGTGGCAGTCAGCGCCT